TTTGTAAAGTGCAATTGCTTAATTACACATATTTCACTTATTTTGTATTTTACTTCTTTTTTTCTTATTAATGTCTTCTTTTAATTTATATTATCAATTAAAAAAATTATTAAGTATTACGATCTTATAATTTGGATTGAAAAATAAATTTTACTTTCACATAAATATAAGAAATGCACCACAAGATGCTCCTACTTTCTTAATCAAGGCTAAAAAGAGCTCATTAGCCTTAGTTAAAACTAAGAAAATTTAATAATTATCTAATGTTATTAACCTTATATCTAATAGATTTTATGAGTATAAAAAATGTTATCATAAGCATGCAAAATAAAGTCAATTTGGTACAAATCTATAGAAATTAATACACAAAAGAGCCTTAGGCTGCAACGTCTACAAAGATTAAAGAACCAAAGAATTCGTGAATATATTATCTAGACTTTAAAATATTTTTTTAACTATCATCAAATATAGTCATATTCTCAAAGATATATCCAAGTGGAATACTTTGATTTGTAAAAAACTAGTCCATTATCATGATGTAGGCTATTTAATGGTTAAAACTTAAATAATTATGTATGCTTATTATTAATTTAAATTTATAATTAAATTAATATTAGTATAATTTGCATGAAGTTATTGTTATTATTATTATTGATTGAGAATTAATCCAAATGGATATTAGATTAGTAGTTGAAATGATTTGATTAATTGAATTAAGATAAAGGTTACATTAAGATTAGGTTTGAAAGTAGAGGCATAAAGATAGAGGCTTGATGTTAGACCAACTAAGGAGGAGTCTTTTTTTGAATAAGTGTAGAATAACCATTGAACTAAATATAGAAAAGTCCTTATTCAATCAAATATGGAGCAATAATTAGACCAAACAAAGAAGGATTTTTTTCAACAATGTGATAGCTTTTCATTATACTAACCTTGTGGAGACTTCTTATGGTAGCCAAATACATAGCCAAATTTATTAGAGGATTCTTGTACTTGGAAGTAATTAAATAGTGTTGGAGTTTGGAATTGAGATAATTTGTATTGATAAGGAATTGAATATTGGAAGGTATTTTTTAAATACATGTAAGTGCTTAAAAGATTTGAGAGTATTGATGTTACTAAGAGGAATAAGGAGATGCAGTAAGTGCAATAATCATATCTTTTACAATATGTTTACAAGGAAGGTAAAATTTTACAACTTGATTCTTAAGTTATATTATTTGATTAGAATTTTTTCTTAAGTAGATTTTTAGATTTTCTTTTGAAGAAAATATAAGCTACTTTTGTATGGTAGTTTTAAGTATAGATCTGACCAAAGCAAGGAGTTAATAAGTATTGAAGTAAAGGAGATCCAAAAAATTTATACATTTAGAGCAGCAACTTTAAAGGCTTTTTTTACTTAATATTAGAGGTATTAAGGCAAGATATGAAAGATGAATTTTTGATTTATTTTTTTTACATTGTGGCAAAATTTTAAATTCATAACATTCATAAATTAGAAGATATGATAATAAATGTAACAGCAGATTGAAAAAAGTGTTAAAATAGTGAAATTTAGTTGAGAAAAATAAGCACTATTACTTGTAAGAAGTTCTATTGACTATAAGATCTTTGTTTCTAAGTATTTTTTAAAGTCTTTATTATATATACAAAGTTTCATAAATAGAAAATAAAGAGAAAGTGAATTGCATGACATCAAAGTCAACTAAGTCAGTATATATGAAAAGAAAGTAGTATATAGAGATGGTAATAAGTTAAGGCAAATCTACAAAGGCATTTATAACTACCATAATAAGAAGTCCTATACTTATTAGATATACAAAAAAAATTATGATGATGTAAGTTGCATTAAAATCATAAATGAATTAGATTGAAGATCATCAAAATCTCAACATGCTCTAGCATGTGAATGACCTTGGTTAGGCCATACACCAATGAGTAGATCAATGGAGCTTAATCTCTTCAAATTCTTATTAATAATAAAAGTGATAATTTGAAGGAATTGGTTAAAATAATCATAAATGATAAAAAAATATAGTTACTTTAAGTATAGAATAAACAATCTTTAGAAGTAATATTTACCTACTCAATTAAATATAACTCTAATATCTACATAAAGGTATTGTTAACCTTAAGCCCAACCTCCATAATTGCCAACAAATTGGTACTATTGCCTACATAGATGTCCACAAGGTAACTTTGATACTATTATGTTGCAACCAAATAGATTCTTTGTCAACATAATCATAGCAATTGTTGCAAATGTTGTAGGAGTAAATTCTTTCTTTCCATCACCAATAGATTACTATTATTTAATCCATGCTATTTTAATCTAATTATCTCAAAAAATATATTATAATCAATTCAATTAAGCTCAAGCACAATAATAGGTTGATTTTAAAACGCAAATCAATAAAAATAAAAAAATAAAAAAATAAAAAATAAATATTTTAATAAATATTTTAGAAATATATTGAATTTTTAATAATTAATATATATATATATATATATATATATATATATATATATATATATATATATATATTGTAAGAAAGAGAAAGAAAAAAAAAGTATATAAGACTTAATCACATTGTAATTCAATAATCTTGTAAAGGTTCTTAAGATAGAACACGAACATTTTTTTTCCTGTCTTCTTTGGCAAGGAAATAAAATAAACTCTATTTGATAAATACCAAAGATGTTTTTTAGAAGGTTTTTAAGGATTTTAGAATTTTAACCCTTGACTTAATAGAATTTTAATTAATCATATATATAGGTTCAAATAGTAATAAAACAATTATATATTATATTTATTTATTTATTTTGTAGGTGTCGACACTTATGTATTTATGAATTTAAAAAAATACGTATGTTTATTTAGAAATTAGAGTATATAAAATATTAAAAATAGAAACAAAGTTTAATTTTTAAAATATTAATTTATTATAGAAGATCTTATACATACCACCAAACTTTGAAGATTTTTGTAATACTCACATAATTTACAATCTTCTTGCCATAAATTTATTTGTTTCAAAGAGGGAATAAAATGACACTTAAATATTTTTTGTAATTAAAAATTAATAAATTTATATATAAATTTATTTTATATTATAATACATGTATATGAACCAAATTTGTAACATGGTAAGCACTTATTCTATTTTGAACTTCTTTAATTTAAAAAAGAAAAAATCAATAACATCAATAGATTTTATTGTAGGTCTTTTAGATATTACAATTATTTACTAAAATGGGTAATTTTTATATATTTTTTAGAAAAAAAAAATATGAATAAAAATCTTTCCACATTTGTTGCCTATTCAAGAGTGTTGAATTTAATGAAAGCTTATGATTTGTATCAAAAATTTACAAAAAAGTTCCACAAATACAAAAACATTAAGATAAAAATATTTTATAGCAAATCAATTACAAACATGGTGAAGTAATAGATAATTAATATATTTGAAATAAAATTTCGTGTAAAATAATGAATCAATAAAATCATATAATATCTTTTTTTACTGTTGGTCATGATTTATATAAAGATGTTATTCAAATATGAAAGAAAATAATTTATCCATTTTACACATCATAATTATCTTATCTTGTAATTTTTACTAATTTAAGAAGTATTTATATAATTCTAACATCAAAATATTTGATTATCTATCTTAATATCATCTATAAGGAGATCAAACTTAAAATTCAAAGATTAAGGACTCAATACAGAATATATAGAAAACATTATCAAAATTTATAACAGAAATTTGGAATAATAAATAAAATAAGTCTTCTTTAGCAAGAATTACAGGAAAATGAAAACCAAATAAAAGAGACCACCATAGTTTGAATCCATTTATGATAATATGCCAAATAAATGATGTTTGACTCTTTATTTTAAATTTCTTTATTAATGCATGTGTTGTCTGGTTTAGTGTTTTAAATATCAAACTATAATATAAGTCATTCTTTGAGAACGAAATCTTTCACCAATATCTTATATGATTATTAATACAAAATATCATGAATCTGATAAATATATCATATAAGTTTAGATATACATCTCCAGGAAATTTAAAACATTTAATATATATATATATATGTATTTTTATAAATATGATATTACAAATGAATGTGGAAGCAGTCATCATATCTAAACAATTTACTAAAACATGCTTGTAAATGACCAAAAACATTTTAAAAAACTAAAAACAACACATTCACTAAATATTAACAATTGTGTTTTATAAACAGCAATTGTAAAGTAATCCCAAATAAAAATTCATGACTATAATATACATCAAATATCACTAAAAATAACATCAATACAATATTGATGATAAATGTTGGTTGTTTGGTTTCTTCCTCCTACAAGATAGAAACAACATAAACCACAAATTGAAATACCACCTATTCACAAAAAAAAATCAAATAAAACATGAGTAAAAACATGATCTATTTCACAAAAATGTGTGTGTGTAAATACAAGCAATAGAGATTCATCATGAAACGGAAAACCTGAAAATTAGTAAACGAAGGAAGATTCAACAGAACGAAAAAAATCCATATGCACTTAATTGTATTCCAAGATTCGAATTTCGAACCAACAAAGCTTCAATAAACTAAAACCCATCAACTTCCACGTCAGCACAGGAAAGTTGACTCCACACGGGGGTCCACAACATTACCGACGCTGCAACGAAGATCCCACCTCGGTCAGGTTCCACCAGAGGCACCGGGCACCCATTGAAGAGAAGGAGGGTTGGGCGGCAGTTTGGCCGATGGAGGCAGTGAGAGGGAGGAAATGAGAGGAAATGCAGGAAAAGGAGGGTGCTCCCCTCTCTTGCTCACTAACTGACGAGCCGACGCAGGAACGGACGAACGACCAGACGGACGGACGTCCAAGGGCCTCCCTCCCGCCCTCGCCTTCCCTCGCCTTCCCTCCCTCCCTCCCCTGGAAGGTTTTCCCGCGCACTTCTCCCCCTCACACTCTCTCTCACTCTCTCACTCCAGCAATGGCCAGCCGGCCATAGCCCACTCCCTCATTCACTCACTCCCCCTCCCCTCCCGCTCCCGCCCTTCGCCCCCCCTCGCGCAACCGCTTTCTCCCTTCCCCTTCCTTCCTTTTCCTCCGAGCTCGCTGCCAGGGACCGTTCTCGTGCCGCGCTGTGGTTGCCAGGTCGGATTTCGAGGCGCCCGTGAACAGCGAGAGCCTGCGCGCGTTTTTGAGCCATTCGTGGGAGGGAAGTCTTCCGCACCGTTGTGGCTTCCTCTGGAGCGCGCGTCGGAGTTGCTGCTCGGACATTGGAGCTTCGGAGCTGGCGCAGCCGGGGAGTTGTTGCGTTTTCTGGGTCGGGAGGTCGGGGTGCCAGGGCGGGAGTTGACGTGTAGTTTTGGGGATACGAGGCTGGGGTGGTAGTGGGGGGTTCTTGCGGGGGATTTTGAGAAGTTTTGATGGGTATTTGCGGTGATGAGGTTTGGGGGCTTGCCGTGGTGGAATGAGGGGTACGTTGAAGGAGAGAGAGGTCTGTCGGGGAAATTCGAGTGCAAGCGGGAGTGTGATGGAGCGAGTTTGTGGTAGAGGGAGGCCGATGGTTGCAGTGGTGAGCTCGGTGGGATCGGTGGATTCGATTGGGACATGTTGGTAGGCAGAGACTAGGGTTAGGGCGTGGGCAGTGACCGTTGGGTGCCATTAGTTTGGTTGAGTGTGGGAAGCGGCCGTGGACCCTGGAGCTTGCGTTTCTGAATTTTCGAGGGGCTTGTTGCCATGGCGAAGCCGAAGAACGGGAAGAAGACTCTCGACTCGTGCGTCATTAAAGGCACTCGGAAAATTGTCAAAGGTATGGTCACTTCCGAAGAAGCATTAGGCTCTCGCTTGATCCTCAGTCTGCCTTCGGATTTCGAAAGCTTCGAGCGGGTCAAACTGGCTGCTTGCAAGTAGCCAAACCGGCTGTTTTTTTCTTTTTTATTTTTTCTTCCCATTTCAAGTCTGTCAGCGATGTGTTTGGTTGTGAACAATCGTCCAGTGTGATCAGTCATTAGACGTGGCATGGGATTCGTGAGAGGATATGTCCTTGCGATTGAAGCGATTTTGTGGCGGATAATTGGGTTTGTGGCAGTTGGAGATACAGTTCTGATGCGCAGCGAGGATGCGGATAAACCTCCCTATATTGCAAAGGTAGAGAAGATCGAGGGTGATAGTCGAGGCAACGTGAAAGTCCGGGTCCGGTGGTACTACCGGCCGGAAGAATCCATGAGCGGGCGCAAGCAGTTCCATGGACAGAAGGAGGTTTTTCTGTCGGACCACTATGACGTGCAGAGCGCGGACACAATAGAAGGCAAGTGCATTGTTCACTCTTTCAAGAACTACACGAAGTTGGAGACTGTGAGTGCTGAGGACTATTTCTGTCGATTCGAGTATAAGGCAACCACTGGCGGTTTCACCCCTGATCGCGTCGCTGTGTAAGGCTCCGCATTGCATGAATGAGTCGTTTAAGATGGGCATAACCTATGAAGTTTGCGTGTGGTAATGCGCAGCGCATGTTAGGCGTTGGGTCTTCTGTGAGGTGCAGTGAGTCAGGGTTAGGTTTGTGCAGTTAACGACTTTGTCGATTTCGTTGATAACTTGGAATGGGGTGTTTCAGGTATTGCAAGTGTGAGATGCCATACAACCCTGACCACGTGATGCTGGAATGCAACAGTTGCAAAGACTGGTGAGGTTGCTGTGCTCTAATATTGCTCATCAGTGAAGTGCTTGCTCAGTCAGTCAGTAAAGACTCGTGCCTCGACCTAAGTCTCGTGCGCTTGAAGCTTGGTGTTTCGTTTGGTTCGGTCGAGGCATGGTCACGTGTTCACGCAGATGCAGTGGCTACTACAGATACGCGGATGCTTAGCTGAACGACAATCTTGCTGAATGGGTGGGTGCAGGTTTCACAGACATTGCGTGGGCTTGAGCGAAGAGCAGGTGAAACATGTGGATAGATACATTTGCCCTACTTGTGCCCCTGAAACTGTGAAGAAAAGCAATGGATCGTCACATAAGACACCAGACGCGAAGGTAACCTCCGTTGAATTTGCACTAGCTGCCTTTTCTTCAATTGCGTTGGTTTTTCATTACACATAGGGTCCCACGATCTTATGGTCGTTTCACCATGGATTCGTGAAAAGTTTGGCTTTTGCAAGGCCGCACTTCTTCTCGCTTTTAGACTTGTGTCGGTGAGAGCTTATGCATGTTCTTCATGCCGGATCAATTATTTTTTATGGTCGCATGACCTGTCCGAACTGGATAGTTTTTTTTCTTAATAGCCGTGGTGTACTATTGTGTGCAGCCGGATCTGAAACGTCAGAGGAGGTGACCTCAAGTCAAGCTTGGCGCATTGCTCAAGTGGTTCTTGCAGTATGTTTCAGATGTCAGAGATATGAGAAGTTGGTGTAGATATGAGGATTCAGATGCAAAATGTAAGATAGTGAGTTGACTACCTTGGTGGGTTCTACATTTCAGCGACCTTTTCTAGAATCCGAAGCTGTGTATTATGATCCACTCAAAGTGTTTATTGGAATACACGAGTTGGGGCTGTGCCAATTACGCAGTCCGAGGTCTCTTCCTCTGCTGTCTCAGGGTAACGAGCGCATAATTGCTTGATGAGAATTCACTCTACCTGTGAGCATTAATCCTCTTAGATGAACCTGCGGCCCATTTGCCTGTCTCGGTCAGCAAGACATTTTGTCCAGTTGGGCACAAGTTGCAATAGAAAGCTAGGTCGCTGGCATATAAAGCTGGATCCAGCATTGACGTGTACCTCATCTCTAATATCTACTGTGTTGCAAAATCAACTACTTCGCGAACTTTAGTCTACTGTCCTTTCTTGTTGCGTTTGTTTGGTGTTGGAGTTTTCTTGTGACGTATGGGCGACAATAGGTTTTGGTCGTCTTTTTCATGTAGTACTTCATTAGATTGTCGTCCTGCTCGTATTTTTCGTAATTGGTGAGCCCCTTCATTGTTTTGTTGAGTGGAGTATTTGAGAGATACTCGGTGAACTAATTTTATCGAATTTGAGACCCATATCTATAGTGACTGCGTCCGTCGAGGACCGTGATAAAAGCACACTTGACTTAATTGTCCGTCGTCTTGAAGAAGGAAGGTGTAAGCTGCATTAAGTACAGAAATTGCACATGCTTGGAATTATTGTCCATTGTTCAGTAGCATTATGTACCTCTAATGCTTCTTTCGTTACAGTTTTTTGTTCACCCTAGTCGGATATTCAACAAAATTGAAAGTTTCCTTCGAGTTGCGAAACCTGGTTACTAAAGCACTGTCATATCCAACAGGAAACTGCAACTACTGTTTTCTCCATGACACAGTCTCAACATACTGCTGAATAGTTTCTTTATATATACATTGAAAGTGTTTGCAATCGAAATTGTTTGCTTAATACAATACAGTGTAACGTACATTCAACACTCTCAACAAAGAGGTACGAAACTCAATAAAAAACGGGTAAACGACTAAAGTTCGCGAAGTAGTTGATTTTGCAACACAGTAGATATTAGAGATGAGGTACACGTCAATGCTGGATCCAGCTTTATATGCCAGCGACCTAGCTTTCTATTGCAACTTGTGCCCAACTGGACAAAATGTCTTGCTGACCGAGACAGGCAAATGGGCCGCAGGTTCATCTAAGAGGATTAATGCTCACAGGTAGAGTGAATTCTCATCAAGCAATTATGCGCTCGTTACCCTGAGACAGCAGAGGAAGAGACCTCGGACTGCGTAATTGGCACAGCCCCAACTCGTGTATTCCAATAAACACTTTGAGTGGATCATAATACACAGCTTCGGATTCTAGAAAAGGTCGCTGAAATGTAGAACCCACCAAGGTAGTCAACTCACTATCTTACATTTTGCATCTGAATCCTCATATCTACACCAACTTCTCATATCTCTGACATCTGAAACATACTGCAAGAACCACTTGAGCAATGCGCCAAGCTTGACTTGAGGTCACCTCCTCTGACGTTTCAGATCCGGCTGCACACAATAGTACACCACGGCTATTAAGAAAAAAAACTATCCAGTTCGGACAGGTCATGCGACCATAAAAAATAATTGATCCGGCATGAAGAACATGCATAAGCTCTCACCGACACAAGTCTAAAAGCGAGAAGAAGTGCGGCCTTGCAAAAGCCAAACTTTTCACGAATCCATGGTGAAACGACCATAAGATCGTGGGACCCTATGTGTAATGAAAAACCAACGCAATTGAAGAAAAGGCAGCTAGTGCAAATTCAACGGAGGTTACCTTCGCGTCTGGTGTCTTATGTGACGATCCATTGCTTTTCTTCACAGTTTCAGGGGCACAAGTAGGGCAAATGTATCTATCCACATGTTTCACCTGCTCTTCGCTCAAGCCCACGCAATGTCTGTGAAACCTGCACCCACCCATTCAGCAAGATTGTCGTTCAGCTAAGCATCCGCGTATCTGTAGTAGCCACTGCATCTGCGTGAACACGTGACCATGCCTCGACCGAACCAAACGAAACACCAAGCTTCAAGCGCACGAGACTTAGGTCGAGGCACGAGTCTTTACTGACTGACTGAGCAAGCACTTCACTGATGAGCAATATTAGAGCACAGCAACCTCACCAGTCTTTGCAACTGTTGCATTCCAGCATCACGTGGTCAGGGTTGTATGGCATCTCACACTTGCAATACCTGAAACACCCCATTCCAAGTTATCAACGAAATCGACAAAGTCGTTAACTGCACAAACCTAACCCTGACTCACTGCACCTCACAGAAGACCCAACGCCTAACATGCGCTGCGCATTACCACACGCAAACTTCATAGGTTATGCCCATCTTAAACGACTCATTCATGCAATGCGGAGCCTTACACAGCGACGCGATCAGGGGTGAAACCGCCAGTGGTTGCCTTATACTCGAATCGACAGAAATAGTCCTCAGCACTCACAGTCTCCAACTTCGTGTAGTTCTTGAAAGAGTGAACAATGCACTTGCCTTCTATTGTGTCCGCGCTCTGCACGTCATAGTGGTCCGACAGAAAAACCTCCTTCTGTCCATGGAACTGCTTGCGCCCGCTCATGGATTCTTCCGGCCGGTAGTACCACCGGACCCGGACTTTCACGTTGCCTCGACTATCACCCTCGATCTTCTCTACCTTTGCAATATAGGGAGGTTTATCCGCATCCTCGCTGCGCATCAGAACTGTATCTCCAACTGCCACAAACCCAATTATCCGCCACAAAATCGCTTCAATCGCAAGGACATATCCTCTCACGAATCCCATGCCACGTCTAATGACTGATCACACTGGACGATTGTTCACAACCAAACACATCGCTGACAGACTTGAAATGGGAAGAAAAAATAAAAAAGAAAAAAACAGCCGGTTTGGCTACTTGCAAGCAGCCAGTTTGACCCGCTCGAAGCTTTCGAAATCCGAAGGCAGACTGAGGATCAAGCGAGAGCCTAATGCTTCTTCGGAAGTGACCATACCTTTGACAATTTTCCGAGTGCCTTTAATGACGCACGAGTCGAGAGTCTTCTTCCCGTTCTTCGGCTTCGCCATGGCAACAAGCCCCTCGAAAATTCAGAAACGCAAGCTCCAGGGTCCACGGCCGCTTCCCACACTCAACCAAACTAATGGCACCCAACGGTCACTGCCCACGCCCTAACCCTAGTCTCTGCCTACCAACATGTCCCAATCGAATCCACCGATCCCACCGAGCTCACCACTGCAACCATCGGCCTCCCTCTACCACAAACTCGCTCCATCACACTCCCGCTTGCACTCGAATTTCCCCGACAGACCTCTCTCTCCTTCAACGTACCCCTCATTCCACCACGGCAAGCCCCCAAACCTCATCACCGCAAATACCCATCAAAACTTCTCAAAATCCCCCGCAAGAACCCCCCACTACCACCCCAGCCTCGTATCCCCAAAACTACACGTCAACTCCCGCCCTGGCACCCCGACCTCCCGACCCAGAAAACGCAACAACTCCCCGGCTGCGCCAGCTCCGAAGCTCCAATGTCCGAGCAGCAACTCCGACGCGCGCTCCAGAGGAAGCCACAACGGTGCGGAAGACTTCCCTCCCACGAATGGCTCAAAAACGCGCGCAGGCTCTCGCTGTTCACAGGCGCCTCGATCCAGCCCTGGTACCAGGCTCAGTATCCACCCCACCTTTTCCCTTTTTGAGCTCGGAGGAAAAGGAAGGAAGGGGAAGGGAGAAAGCGGTTGCCCGAGGGGGGGCGAAGGGCGGGAGCGGGAGGGGAGGGGGAGTGAGTGAATGAGGGAGTGGGCTATGGCCGGCTGGCCATTGCTGGAGTGAGAGAGTGAGAGAGAGTGTGAGGGGGAGAAGTGCGCGGGAAAACCTTCCAGGGGAGGGAGGGAGGGAAGGCGAGGGAAGGCGAGGGCGGGAGGGAGGCCCTTGGACGTCCGTCCGTCTGGTCGTTCGTCCGTTCCTGCGTCGGCTCGTCAGTTAGTGAGCAAGAGAGGGGAGCACCCTCCTTTTCCTGCATTTCCTCTCATTTCCTCCCTCTCACTGCCTCCCTCGGATCCCCCTCTGTATGTTTGCCCCCTCTGTATGTTTGCCCCCTCTGCGACAGTTCTCGGCCAAATTCTCCCCCCCCCCCCCCTCCCCCCTTCTACCGTATGCGTGCCCGCTGCCTCTGTTGTTTGCAGGCGTGGTGTGGTTCCAATCGTTTAAAAGTTGGATTTGGCGATTATCTCACCAATTCTTTTATGGATGCTTTGTCCCTGTCGTGGTTCTGCTAACAGTGGGCGATCTCCTTGACTTGCCAGCCGCGAATGTGTGAGTTTGTTTCCTAAGTTGTTGTTTTGCCTTTAATTTGCAGAGATTTTTGTGTTAACCGATTATTTTAGTATTATTTTTCTTATCAGTTTGATGACAAGTCGACCAGTCTGTTGTTGTGATCAGTCATGATTTCAGTAATCTTGGGTGTAGTTAATAGTCGTTGTTTAGGTTTTTCTTGTTTATTTTGGAGGTGCACAACGTTACTGTATCTTATAATGTTGTTTGTTCTTGATAATTTGTATGATTTTTTTATAATGATTAGATTTTGTATCAATCTAATTTTTTACATGCTCACTGTTAATTTTGGAAATGTATCGTACAACAGCTTGTTTGGATAAATAACTTTTTGTGTTGTTTCTAGAAAAATGAATTGCACTATGTTTGATTATGGGAAAACTTACAGAAATGGGTGATTTAGGTCAAGTCCCAATTTGATTGAGTCAATTGGGTCAACTCTATTGGTGTGTTGTAATTGATAGTTGGCAGTATAGGGTATGAACGATTGGATAGGTCGTAACATAAAAATGTCAGTATATTATGAAAATGTTAGAAATTAAATAGAAAATGGACACTGAAAGGAAAATATTGAGGTAAAACATGAATGGAAATTAGTAGCAAAACAACTAGAACTGAGTTGGGGTATAATTCTAAGAGTTTATTTGGGGAGATTACATCAATCGTTATGAGTCAAAATCTTGTGCAAAGCTCTTTAAAAAGAAGTGTTGCATTTTGTATTCATAAAGTGAAACAATTTGGTTTTTTTTATACAATATCACTTAAGTTTGATACTAATTAGGCAAGTATTAGAACCTTCCTTTGAATGTGAATTGAACAAGATTATATATATATATATATATATATATATATCTATAGAGAGAGATAATTAATAGAAAAATATTTCTTTTTTTAAAATTTAATATATATTTGCGAATTAAATATAGAATTGAATTCTAAACTTAAGGAAATTTAGTAATATAGTGGATTGATGTATGCATTAGTTGTAGAATAATATTATTGCTATAATCAAAAAAATATTAATACAAGAAGAGACAAAGAAAAAAGGTAGTTGAATTGATGAAAGTAATATTTAACTATATTAGACAAAGTAAGAATTGATTGTAAAAAAAAGAAATATGCCTAATTTTTGTCTAATTAATTTTTGATTATAAATTAAGGTGGTAATCTTTTATAAATGTTGTTAAAAGTATAATATATTAAAGTCTTTATTCTTTGCAAAACTTATTAATATACAAAGTCTTGTTTATAAATTTAAAGAAGAATTTATAATTTATAAATTTAATACATATTTTACACAAGTCTTAATTATATCTATGTGTATTTCATATAAATATAGCTTAATAGAATATTTATTTTTGAAGGTATATATATCAACTATTTACATGATTTTACTTTCATGTAATAAAAATAATTCCATTATATTATTTTCATCTACAAAATTTGTTAAAACATTCTATTTCTAATTAATTGCTATCAATTTGTTTTTATTAATATTAAAAAATATAGTATTTACTAATTGATATCAGATATTAATATTTAAATAATTTAAAGAATTAAAAGATAATTCTTATATTAGAGTTGTTTTTCTAAAAATCTTTTTAATTTTATATAATCTTTTGTTTAATATTTAGTACTAAATATTTCTATATCCTATTCAATTATTCTAAATTTAAATTTTATATAATTGTATTATAAAAATAAGATGTATTATGAAAAGATGTTTCTACTACATACCATTTACATGTGAAAAAGATATAGTTTTAAATTTCTAAATATGTTTCAACTTCCCTTCTTAGGCTAGATATTTTTTTAACTCTACTATTGCAAATACAACACCTCTTAGGCTAGATAGCTACTTTGCAAGAGCAAATAGAAGCTTCTAGGATAAGGGAGTCAACATCTACTAGACTAAAATTGAGTAAGCCTAGTACATACTCCAAGACTTCAAGGCAAGTTTTAGGGACATATTCTTTAGAACTTTCTAGAGAGAAGTTTCTAGAAACTTCTAGAAAACAAGCCTCTAGAACCTTCTAGAAGAGAAGCCTCTGGAACCTTTTAGAGAGAAGTTTCTAGAAGCTTCTAGAAAAGAAGTCTCTGGAACCTTCTAGAAAGGAATCCCCTGGAACTTTCTAGAAGCTTCCTAGTTAATAGAAGTAGCTCGAGAAGTTTCTAGAACCTTCTAGAAAGGAAGCCTCTGGAACCTTCTAGAAGCTTCCTAGTTAATAGAAGTAGCTCGAGAAGCTTCTTAAGTAGGAGTATATATAGGGATCGAGGCTGAAGAGTTCTTCAGTCTCGACAACACATCTCTTGGAGTTCTAGTTCACCTTTCTGGTGTTGTTCTTGTACTCATCTGTTTAATCTAGTTCTGCCACTTCTTCTTGAACTTCTTGTTAGATTTCAAGTCTGTATTTTGTGTCCGTGACAGTTTGTCGAGACTACACTAACTTGAGATATCAGAGCTAGTTCTTTCTTAGTAGAGTGTGGATTATCCCTCTACTTAAAGGTATACTAGCATTTTTTAGAGGTTGCGGATTACCCTCATCTAAACTGATACTTCTTCTGTTACAATATTGGAGTCTTATTCTTCTTGGAGAGAGTGGATTACCCCTCTTCTTGAAATTCTTAAGGCGTTTTATAGGTTGTGGATTACCCTCCTATAAACCAATATTGCCTCTTATAGGGTCATTTTTGTCCTTCTTTTAGAATGGCCGGAGGTCAAGACATTAGTATGACAGAAAGTTCGGAGTCTAAGTTAGATGCTATTATGAATGCCCTCGCTACGTTATCACAAAGAACTGCAGAGATTGAAGGAGTGGTGGTAAGGCTTCATAATGATGGAGTATCTGGGATAGCACAATCTAAACTACACCAACCTCAAATTTTGGCACTTGGAGAAACAATTTTACCTCAGGTTCCACAAGAACCACTAGTTCTACAACATAAGGAGCCTCGAGTTAGCCTTCTAGATAAGTTTGATGGAACACGTTCCAAGTTTCGAGGATTCGTCAATCAAATCAAGTTGATAACAGTTTTACAGCCCGAACGATATTCAACGGAGGAGTCACGTGTTGGGCTTGTTGGAACCTTACTTACGGGACAAGCTCTATCATGGTTTGCTCCTTTGTTTGAGAAACGATCATCCATATTAAACAACTTCGAAACCTTTTTGGAAGCATTTGCGGAAGCATTTGGTGAACATGATAAGGTTCGATGGGCTACAACAAAGATCCGGTCGCTACGACAAGGGATGCGTTCTACATCAGTCTATGCTTCGGATTTCACGTAATTAGTATGCGACATGAATTGGGATGAAGAAGCGTTGATGAGTCAATTCTATTGGGATTTAAGAGATGATGTGAAGGATTTGCTGTTAACTCTTCCTGATCCACGAACGCTCAATGAAGCCATTAGCTAAGCTGTGAAGTGCGATAATCGCCTATTCCAACGTCGCCAAGACCAACGCTCAAGACAACATACAATTCGCCATGCTCCAACTATGTCGGCAAGCGATGTGAATTCGCATTCAGAGGTGGAAGACATGCAAATTGATGCGGTACGTATCAAATCTCTTACTATAGAAGAAAAAAAGCGACGTATGGAGGAAAATTTATGCTTGTATTGCGGTGGAGAAGGCCACAAAGTCGGAAACTGCCCCAAAAAGCAAAATCGAGGCACAGTCAAGACTAGGGGAGTATTTGTTCAGGAAAACGAGGATGCCCAGCCACAGTAAGAACCGTGCGGCTGGACAATGAAATATCCCAACAACAATCGGGTTCCTTTCTTTCTGCCCAACCTGCACTTTGTTTTACAATCCCTCTGTTTATCGGCCCTCAAAAACTAAGAACCTTAGCACTACTAGACTCAGGAGCATCTGCTTGTTTTTTAGACGAAGAATTTGCAAAGCGTCATAAGATTCCTTTAGTACAAAAATCAAAACCTGTTCATGTTGAGGTCATAGATGGACGACCTTTATTGTCTAGTAGCATCACCCATGAATCAAAACCTATAGAAGTAACATTTAAAGACCATAGTAGTCATATTATTTTTAATATTATTAGAATCCCATCAAATCCTATTATTCTTGGTCTTTCTTGGTTGGAAAAACATAATCCATTGATAGATTGGAGGTTGCGGAAGATGACTTTTCCCACAAAACCACCCAAGAAAAAACCTAGTAAAAAACCTCGAAAAAAGAAATCCTTATTCATTGGAGCAAGAGCGTTTATAAGATCCTCTAAGGAAGGCACTCCATTTGTCATTTATGCGGCTCCAACTACCGAGGAGAAGATTTCAACAGCAAGTATACCGGAGCAATATAAAGATTTTGAAGACGTGTTTCAAAAGAAGAACGCTGACATACTACCGGAACACCGACCATATGATTGTGCCATAGACTTGCAAGAAGGAGCACAACCACCTTTTGGCCCAATCTACAATCTATCGCAAATGGAGTTGGCA